AMMARSMAMWAWATATTCAMGAAACAAGCATTATCTATTCCCTCACCATTTTTCTGTTTWAGAAGATCATAATGCATGTAGTACTTCCTCTGCAGCAAACTGTTGTTAACTTTCTCAATCTTTACTACATGAGCTTGACGAATAGTTTTCTTTAACCTTCCTTCTACTTTTGCAAACTCACTTGTTCCTGGAAATACTTCTACCAGACACTTTTCATCAAGATTTTGGTTACCAGTTTGTGAGCTGGAAAATTAAATGTAATAATCATAATGGTGATGATTGTTTATGACAAAGAAATTCAATGGATTGAATGGATTGATTTATTGATTTGTACATGTAGTGTCCTAAATATTGATGTTTAAACTAACCTTTTTGCAGGTGAAGCAGTGCTGCTAACTCTCTTAATTTTTACAGTCCTATTTGTAAAAGTGTCTTTCATGGTCATATTTCTAAAATCAAAGGACATCTTCCTTGAACCTTCGAATGCAAAACTTGCARTATTTTCAGAGTTTCTTTTGTTGTAGTGCATTTCAATGCGATTTGATTCTCCATCTGTAAATGAATTGAATTTCTTGGTCTTCTCATCAAACCAAAGCCATGAATTTGATCTTCTTCGTGACCTTTCATTTTTTCCTTTCTTCTTAAGTAAAGCTTCATTCACTTTTGTAACTCTTGAAGGATCATSTTTATGCTGCTCAAGTTCATAGAAGATGTAATTAGGATCAAATTCAGGAAACAGCTTACTTAGAACTTCTGTTTCTTTCTGCAAGCTAAGCATTTCTTGYCGAGATCTTTCATCATCATAAGATAGATCAGATGATGATGTTCCAGGTGTTACCATGCCAGTTCTTGGCATGCCAGGYGTACCAGGTTGTGGTGTTCTAGGTATTGGTGTACCAGGTGATGGTGTACCAGAATATTCCTGGCATAGAGTACTTAATTTGTTATTTTTAGCCATAACACTTGTCAGCATGCTTTGCAGTTCATTATTCATGTCTTTAATACCTTCAGTAAATGAAGATAAGAATGAACTTTGATTATTTTGGTTTGATAGAGGGTTAGTTGTTGGAGATGACCCTTGTCTGTTTTGTGTAGGTCTTGCTACAGTACCATGTTTAGATGCTGCTAATGTTGAGTTGGTGTGGCTTTGGCTTGAAAGAATAGTCCAAGACTTTGATAGAGTGTTAGTTGTTGGAGATGACCCTTGTCTGTTTTGTGTAGGTTTTGCTACAGTACCATGTTTAGATGCTGCTAATGTTGAGTTGGTGTGGCTTTGGCTTGACAGAATAGTAACTGGAAACGGTACCTGAATACTTGGAGTTGTTACACTTGATGACAAAGAAGAAGTGCCTGCTACAGAAGTTGATACAAGACTTGAGGAACTCTTTGCATAGTTGGAGGTGGGTGGTACATAGGGTTTGGCTATTTCTCTATCATAGGATTTTTGAAGTGGATACGGCTTGTTCTTTCCACAGCGGATGTCAATTCCAAGACTTTCAGTAGTGCTGCCCTTATAGGTTGCTTTTGGTGTAACAGTTGTTGATGAAGATGTTTTTGTTGCTTTTGTTRTCACTATGGAGATGCTATTMGGTGCTTTTGYAGGAACACAATGTTGATCTTGRTCAGTAAAATACTGCAGTCTTTTATACCTAACATTGCTACCAACACTTTGATTTTCAGAAGATGTAAAATTTATTTTCTTTTCAGGTTCAGCTGTTTTGCAAACAGGAGCAGTCTTTTTTGTGGGTGTTTTTACAGTTTTATTTGGCAGCATAGTCTTCTTTGMAGGAGACATTGAATTACCAGTAGATAGAGATGACTTCATAGCATGATTTGTGTTCAGCTTTTTCTGGTCAGGTTGTGCAGAAAGAGCAGCATTTACTTTAAGTGTTTTCTGAYCAGTCTGTCTTGCTATTGCTGCTGGTATGGGTTGCTTTGGCTGTGCAGTCAGCACTTTGTCAGAAGGTGATAAAACAGCACTAGATGGTGATGACACAGAGTTGCTAGTGTTGTTTGTTGATGTGTTTTGTACCTTAGAAGAAATTGCTMTTTTGATATTACATTTCAGTTCTTTATRCTTTGGTAGTGTCAGATCTTCCCAGCAAATAGAAACTGGAGCAGTTGAATCTGACTGTGAATTGCCAGGTATTTTAGGAGGGCTAATAGCTTTCTCAAGTGCTGCTGTAAAGCTGTCTTTAGTGATTGATGCTGTAGTCTTTGGATCATGTTTAGCTGTTTGTATACTGGTCTGCTCAGCTTTTGATGTTACAGCATGAGACACAGGATCAGTTGGACTTGAGGATGAAGAAAAAGAAAGATTTCTTACTGGTCCTTTACGTTTAACAGGACTCTGTTCAACTGTGAAAGAATATGATGGTTTGGTTGAAATTGAAGAACAAGATGTTGTAGTYGTGCTCTTTGGGGATTTATTTCTTGTTGTAGTACAAGTTGAAGAGRCACGCYGYKGGTTACTGTGRYCAGTAATGGATGTTTTAACTYTRGAGGAATTCRTCTTASTCTTTCCWCTGGATGATTTGACCTCAGATATTCTGGCTAAAATATCTTCATAAGATGGTGCATTCTCTGCTTTCCTCTTTTCACTTACTGGTTTTGTTTTCTCTTTTTTAGCATTTGCAGTGTTGGTAGCCAAAGAGTTGTCATTTTCAGGATGATATCTGCTAGTTTCATTCAAGATTCCCAAATCATCTAAGCCATCTTCATATCCATGTACTAAATTAGACACAACCTGGATACATTCATCAATGTCATAAATTTCCAGGTAACTTTTCAGGACTTCCTCCTCTAGTGTAGGAAAAAGTGTTTTAATTTTGACCACGTCATCTTCCCATTGATTGACTGCTTCTTGTAATTGAAGACCAGAGGATGATGGTCCTTCCCAGGAATCCATGAAGGAAGTCCCATTACTCCTTGTCGTTGACGCATATTCACGTTCTCTGGATGTAGTTGTGAGCCTTGCCCTTTTAGCTGGGGAACAAGAGCTTTCATTTGAACTATCTCTTGTCATTATAAGCTACTTCAGTTCCTGGAAACACAAAAAGATTAAAATCAATGAAATCGCTTGTTTGTATTGCATTGATTGATCGACAAWGTTGTCTGTTTTACGCTCCTTTGAGCTTGAATCAATCCCCAGGGAACTCCTAGGAATTTCAGTTAATATTTGCACAACAACAAAGTTAACTTGATAACCAAATATAAAACACAGAATCTGCATATACGTGCTTTAACAACCATAATATTTTGGCGGGAAAGACTCCATAACATGCGTCTACGCCACCGGCAATCAACAAGCAGTAAGTAAGCTTATTTCTAGCACACCGTTTCTAGGTATTCGATCTGAACTTTCTCTATGACTTTATGAAGCTTTCTTCTTATTTTAAGATTGGCAAATAGTTCCTTAGTGGCATAAAACGTCGGTTTACTAACGTATCAGTCACAACTTACCTTGGCGAGATCGCACATACCTCAGAGATATCCAGTTTCACTGTCTACAACAACTTCCGTACGGACTATAACAACCTTTTTGATTGGACGATCCTAGCCAATGGCAAACTGTGTTTTTTAAAAAGCAGCAAGATGCATCATGGGTAATAAATATGACGTCCTAGTGATTGTTGCTACATGAAGGTTTATTTTGCTTTTTGCCGTCAYAAAATGGCATGAAATTGTTGATTGTAAACATGAAGCACAAGGTTACAGTAAGATTCGGTCCCTACGTATCGTGTGGTTTATTAGAGCATAGGACGGCAAGACTTGAAGGCCTTCAAGGTAACGCGTCAAATAAGACTTAAGTTAAGTCAATAAAGAAAACAATTTTCTGTACGARATTCTATTTTTTTCAGAAATGCTACTCAGTGATAGCCACACTGTAGACTTCATTAAAATCCCTGACAGAGACCATGTAGAGCTTGTGGTACATGGAGAGGTTGTATTTACTTGTAAGATACAGGATTTGCAGTATGGTAAGTCACTGACGCTAATCTTTAAAAAACTAGCCAGATTGCAGGCTCCGGGCGAGGGTTAACTTGCACTATGACGTCATRTTGCATGTAAAAAAATAATGTAGGGTGACAACATCGAAACATTAGCCAATCACACACAAGAACGTCAATATGATGGTAAAGGGCTGTACATTTATAGTTTCCTTTTATTTAYGCTAATTCTAGGTGGTGATGGCAAACTTGATCCCCTATGTCATAAAGCACTGGAAGCTGTGAGAAAAGCGTATTAGATTGTTGTACAAAGTGTTCCAAAAATATAAATAAGAATTTTGTTATTAAAATTGCATTATTATATTATTATATGGAAATTACGGTGCAATCTAACCTGCGTAGCCACGTGTTCCTAGCAGCTCCAAAGTAGTTAGGGTCTCTCTCTCGGAGCAGCTAGGAATGCCTGGCTATGCAGGCTAGGTGCAATCTTGATTAGGAAATTGAGTTTTTAGTATTGCATACAGATTCATAGCACTCCACCCATGAAATACATGTTTTTATTTTTAATGTGTTTTTTTTTTCTTCAAATTATCTGATGCAAACACTAAAGCCTTCACACTACTAATGCAAGCAATACAAACACAAGAGCAAACACAAGAAATGAAACTTTTATTTTCTTGCACTTGCATCTGCTTTGCTCGTGTGTACCAGGCTCAAAGGCATGAAAAAGTACCAAGCAAATAGTACCAAATTTCTCTAGTGATATTATGACAAGTAGCATAATTTGTGTTTGAACTCTCTTACAATAACATTTGGGTGATGTTCAACGGTTTTAAGTGTAACAACTCTGKTCTTGAGAAAGGCATAAAATTACACAATTCATCATTTGTATCAAACATTACTTTCTTTATTGAGTTTGATTTGTCATTTGACTCATTTGCATTCTGCTGCCTCAAGTATACTAGTTCCATGTGYATTATTATTTCTAGCTTCTAAATTACTATACAGCTTCAGTTAGATCCACTCTTGAGTCAATATTCCATTATATTATACACAAAAACAGCAGTGTATCATTGATAAAAGATTTCCATCAGTGCATTGTCAATAATCTTTTTACTGCAGTGCTTCATCGATAAGAGTCTCTTGTTCTAAAATGTGCTGGTGTTTATTTCCTGTTGCTGTAGAGGCTGCTGTAGCWCGTCCAACATAACTGCAATAAAGAACACATGGTTGATTGGATAACTAGACGATGGAAAGTTGGACATAATAACTACATTGGAACTAATAATTGAAGGCATTGAAATACATAGATGTATATAGCATTAAACTAGTGTAAGGYGTGATGTGTTGATCTCAAAAAAACGTTTGTGATAAAAGGAAAAAACAGAAAACTGATCAGCAAACATACACTGGCATATCCATATTTTCTTCCATATCCAATACCATGGCATTAAAATAATATACAATAAAATAGTGCAATATGATTGATGTAATATACTCACACAACATCTACTGCATTGCTGATAGAAGTCATGATACGTGGCTTAACATAAGCCCAGTAACCCATATTCTTTGGTTCTTCCTGTGCCCAGACTATTTGAGCATTGTCGTACTTCTTTTGTTCAGCTTTGATCAAGTCAAATGGGAAAGGACTGATCTAAAATTCAAAAATCATACTTCTAATAAACCAACATTGCTAAATAGGTAATTCATTGCATTTAGAATAGYCAGTATTAACCATAAATTTATTTATTTCAGTTAATTTATATTTTACCTGTTCTATACGAGTAATGGCAATGTCTTCGTCTAAACCACGTTTGTTGCGTTCCTTGTAAAAAAACATGAATGGTGTTACATCTTGTGCCACATTTGATATACACTAAAATCATCTTGTCTTACCTTTAGAAGTTCATAGTACACCTTTCCAGTACAGAGAAGCAGCTTTCTGACTTTTTCTGGGTTAGCTGTTGCAGGTCCATTGTCAGGAATGACTCTTTGGAAAGACGTTCCTAGGAACAGATTGATATTTAACTAGTTGTTGCACACTGTTACTTACCTTAAACGGCAGCACTGAAGTAAGAAATTATATTAAGCATTTCAAGCAAAAGTTACCTTATAGCATTGGATGTTAGTGGATATGCTTGATATTAGTTCACAAGAAATTTCACATTACTTAGTACTTCAGAAGAAGTAAATTATGGTTGTTTGCAATAAATAATTAGAAAACAAACCTTCAAGCATGTCATCAATGTGAGACCTGGCTGCCTCAAGACGAAGAAGACTCTTTGGAGTGAAGATGATGAGCTAAAGAAAAAAAAATACAATATTGATTACCCTGTAGCCAGTCTTTGACTGTTTTACATCACAATGAATACTTCCAGTCAAGCATACTGTATTTCAAATGGTGAGCTTTAACAAATCTGTTTTATCAGATTTTGCATGTAAAACACAGTAAATTTTACTCACTGGTTTGCGGACATCCATAGCCATTTGTCTTCTCAAAACATGGAAATAGCTCGCCGGATTGCTGCAATTCACAACCTTAAGTACAACAAAATAGATTAAATTAGATTCCCTATTTCCAGGTAATGATATTAGTTAGTTTACAAATACTCTCTAATCAGTTGGGTAGATTTTCAGTACATTTTACACTAATTGATATATTTGTGTGCAAATACGTGCTACTCTACCTGCCAGTTAGAATGTTTCAGCTGAGAAGCTTCAAACAATTCCCCTTCAGGCTAAAAGAACAAAAAAGTAAAATACATGTCACGAGGTAAACAGTGAACATCAGATAAATTACTCACTGGAAACACGTCTGGGTCATCATTGCTCATTTGAAGGAACCTTTCTGGTCTTGCACTGGAATGCTCTGGACCCTGAAAAAACAAATTTTATTATCGTTTTGTTAAATACTCATACCATAGCCTGAATGAGTTGTATTTTCAAGACATATTGTTTACTCACCATTCCTTCATAGCCATGTGGTAACAACAAGACAAGACCTGTTTGTCGCACCCATTTGTCTTGCCCACTGCTGATGAACTGGTCAATGATACACTGATATGAAAAGAGAATAATATAATTTACAGATCATAAAAAATAATAATTTCTGCTAAATAATATGCTCACTTGGCTTGTATTCATGAAGTCTCCAAACTGTGCTTCCCAGAGGATTAATGCATATGGATTTGTCATGCTGAAACCAAGCTCAAACCCTACAAATACCAATTAAAGTAAGTATTGAAAAAACAAAGTAGCATACTCTCCCTTTAAACATTTTCAGAAAATGTCACTCTACCCACCTACTTCTTAATTATCTATCTTTACTGGTACTTAAACRCAGGCTTACCTAACACAGCATATTCAGATAGTGAGCTATTACAGACGGTATAGGGGGCCTGGTCTTCACTCAAATCATTTAAAGGACAGTACAGAAGTTTATCTTTTTCTTGACAATGAAGGATGTGATGACGGTGGCTGAAAGAAATAGGAAATGTCAAACAAATTTACATCTTCATTTTAAATTATTTTTCATAACATTAAAGGAAAAAAAAATATCAAAAGCTGCATATCCACAGCAAACCAACTTATGAAAAACGTTAAGACTATAATTACCTAAATGTTCCTCTTTCAACATCTTGCCCACTCAGTCTGACATGAATGCCTTCCATGAGTAAAGACCCAAATGCTAAGGCCTCTCCCATTGCCCAGTCAACATAACCATTTTGTAACAACTCAGCRCGACCTCTAAGGACTCTCTTCAGTCCTCCATGTGTCTTGAAGTCTCCCTCTGGCGGTGTACTCATTGCTTTGCCAACATGTTTGATTTTATCCATGGTGATTCCAGTGGGCTTGATGGGAGCCATTTGGTAGTTCTTGGGAAAGAAACCTTAGCAATATGCCATGAAAAAAATCAAAACTAAATTCAATGTTCTCTAGAATTATTTGCCGTGGGATGTCCTATGGAATATTCAGTACTTCTGGTGTAATCAAGAATACATTAAAATATCTTGAAATTATACTGTCTCAAATAAAACAGAAGGGCTTGATGAAACTGGTAATGTCTGAATTTTTTTAGGGATTTATATTATTATTCAGGAATGTGTAAATGTATGTAAGAAAAACACTAGCTTATAAGAATATTAGAAAGGAAACAACAAACCCTTCCATGGTGAGTCCAACCAATCTCTGTTCCTTAGTTGCTTTCTTTCTGACTTGGACTCAAGGTACGCTTCCTCACAAATCTTCTCATACTTAGCAATCTCTTCCTACAAATCARATCAGCATTGATCACAGATAAATCATGAATCATTGTCAATGACATGGGGGAAATGAACCAACCTGAACCTCATCCTTGGTAACGGCACCTTCAGCAATAAGTTTCTTGGAGTATGAATTCAAAACCTGTTCTTGTTTTTGGATGCGCTTGTACATAAGAGGTTGAGTAAACATGGGGTTGTCACCCTCATTATGGCCATTTCTTCTGTAGCACACCTAATAAACAAACCTTTTTCTGAGATGTTTGCCAATATCTAAAACATTTTTATTACTGAAACTATGTCATGAGTGCAAAGAGAAGGTTAAGAAGTACAACTGAATTTACAAATCCTGTTTACCAAATCAATGACGATGTCTTTGTTAAACTGTGCTCTCCATTCAGCAGCCACTTTACAAACATGCATTACAGCCTCAGGGTCATCGGCATTAACATGAAATATTGGAGCATCAACAACCTATAATAAACCAATAATGGAGTCTTCTGTTGTTCRTGTTCTAATATCAAATTACTGTTAATCATTAACATATAGCTACTTACCTTGGCGATATCAGTGCAGTATGGTGAAGAACGTGAGTACCTTGGATCTGTGGTAAATCCAATCTAAAACATTAAAAGAGAAAGCTTGTTACAAAACGTCTTCAATAGCTAATAGTAATACTTTTTTTCAAAACTTGCAGCTGGTGAACTTGATTTTGATCCATGCAGGCTGAGTAACTTGTACAAGGAAARAAGCAATTATTATTAATATACTGACCTGATTATTTACCACAATGTGAATGGTACCATTAGTTGTGTAATGAGGTAAAGCACTAAGATGAAATGTTTCATAAACAACACCTTGKCCAGAGAAAGCTGCATCGCCATGCAACAAGATACTCATCACCTAGCACACATTGCATAATATGTAAATCTTTGTCCAACAAGTRTTTGATKTTACRCAAYATRCTAAATCATTTTATGTCCAAAATGTCAGATGATTATATGGCTGCTTTCTTTCATTTAGTAGAACATTATTCATCTTTTAATTACACTAACACTAGACCAGGTCAAGAAAGCTTGGTATTTGAGCTTGCAGCGTCACGCTGTTGATTTTTTTGATCACTAATAAAACAATATTATCAATCTAACAATGTATTTTATTATTACAGATTTTCCTTGTGAATCTCCCCTATAGAACTGCTCTGCTCTTGTCTTTCCTTGGACWACAGGATCAACAGCTGAAATGATATAAGAAAGAGAGTTCATAGTATGATGACATACTCTCATTTAAAGCCAATCTACTGATAATACCTACCTTCAAGATGAGAAGGGTTCGCAACGACAGCCAGTCTAACAATCTTATTGGTTGCTCTATTAAGACGTTCATGGGACATACCAAGATGATATTTGACATCACCAGAACCCTACATACATTTTAATGATTTACATATGTCATTAATATTCCATTACATTATCAATATTCAAACAACTTAAGCAAATAAAATAAACAAACAACAATACATTGAATGGATTGAGACAATATTTGTTTTTGCTCAAATACTATTATTATTGGCAGCTGAAATTACGTAACACGTTTGCAGGACTGTCTCAAGGTAAACATAAAACAACTACAATCTCTCTTATCAGTTGTTTTAGCTTGGGTTTATAAATTACCTCATCAGAAGCTTCTAATGTTGGATCAAACTGTGTAAAGATTTGTTCCAAAGGCTTGCGGCAGACATTAGCCAAAACATCCAGTCTTCCCCTGTGTGGCATTCCCATGACAACACTCTCAACACCAAGATCACTTGAGACATCAATGATGGTTTTCATGGCAGGAATYAACACCTCACAACCTTCAACTCCAAACCGCTTTTCTGATGACCATTTCCTTGCCAAAAATGCTTCAAATCTACCAAAAAAAAAAACAATTTTAAAAGACAATTGATATTAACAATAACTCTATCTTGATTCAAAATTACACAAAAAAGTCATTGAAATGATTTGTCAAATTCATTTACCCATACAATAGTTATTATCATAATTATCGTACTACTATTAGTTATATACTAGTAATACTGACCCAGTTGATCGYACAAGTCTTGCCAAAAGGGTTCGTTTTTCTTCTCTGGACAAAGCCATTGATCCTGGTGATTCAAACTTTTTTCTTATCCAGTCACCTAAATGATTCCATGTTTTGAATCACAACACATTACTGAATATTATTTTTTATTTTGACATAAATCACACACTAGTACTTACATTTGTACTTTTCTGGGATGAACATAAAATCAAGTCCGTAATGATTGCAATAAGTTTGCTGCAAAATATAAAATACTCATATTTGAACTAATCATATTTACAAACATTTTATGCCATTATCACAGTGGGAACATCTTGATTGTAATTCTAAAGTGAGATTTTTGCTGATTTCTTTGATAAGGGACTGGAATGGAGGGGTATTAGTTTTGATATTTTATTCAAGAATGAATAATCAACATATAATATTGAGCTTTTATTAAAAAGCCTAGGGGAAGAGCCTTATTACTAGAAGATTATCAATTACCTCAAGTTTGTTMACAATTTCTCTCAATGTCAAGACATTCTTATCTCCACCAATGTATGTCGTGTTAGGGAGCTGAAATACTTTATCCATGTCTTTTTCACCTTTGGGATTTATCAATTGTTTACACAGTTAAAAGAATTGAAATATTGAATTAATTGAAATGATGAGTGCTTACCCAAACCCCAATATGCAAGCTGCAGATCAACTGGAATATCTTCACTCAAGTCAGCTTGCAGAATTCCCAGAGGATCCAGTTTAGCTTTTCTGTGRCCTCTTATCTGAATTAAACAATATTATGCAGGATTCAGAGTTTTGAACATGACTGTGTTTGACCCATATACTGCTTACCTACTTATTCTGCTTATATAAATGTTTTATACAACTTACCTGATAGGATCTAATCAATGAATAAACAGCAAGATGGTCCTGTACAATYTCATTGATGTTTGATTGGTCAACTGCTGTTGGTGAAGAAATWGTTGTTGCCACAGCACTGCTAGGCTGACCTAACACTGGTGGAGGTTGATAGGCTTGTCCTGGGGGCATTCCTCCTTTAACATTTTTGAAGTAAGCATCCCATGACTAAACAAAAGTATGCAACATTAGTTATTTAGGGTTATTATCAGGAGAGCATTTTGCTTCACATGACATCCACTTGTACATTGCTGCAACATTTGTTTTATTATTAGTCTGTTCGGCAATTTAAATTATAGATCTACAGATTTAATCTAAAAAATGATGGATTGCAAAAWAAGGTTTGATGGTGGTGGCACATATTTCTTTCCCTTCATACTGTTTCTCAGGTACTTAACATTTGTCATTTATTTGAAAAACCATTTACCAAAAGAAATGACAGAACAAAAAGAGAAAAGTCCAAAGTCGAATCCAAAGTTACTCCATATTTTGCAATCCTTTTCTAAATGTTTCAATGTTTTTCACATTGCTTTTTTTCTTCACAAAATTATTAAAATAYTGGTTGAAAATAATAACATTTTACAGGTCACTAAACAGCTGGTGATCCAAAGTGAAATGCGTGACTAGRGTGCGTTACACGTTGAGAAATCACGTAAGCCCCTAGATCGATCGATGCGGTAACCGCCTCCTTCGTGTTACCAYACACACGAATGGCCGCAGACAGATAGTGAAAACAGAAAGAAACAAAATCATCCACAAGAATAGCATAGATCTTCGGTGTCAACCCTTTGAAAAGCGTGTGGATGCTAACATGTATACGTTAGGYCTCGAGGTTTTAAATGATATGTAACATTCAAAAATAACTCGACCGATTACTCTTACTTTATGAACACTATTAGGATTCTCCAACCATGATGCATACATCTCCTCAACATAGTTACTGCTACTACCATTGATAAAGGATTCCTTCGCCACAATGGCTGCTGTCTGTTGAGGTCGAATACTTGTCCATCCATATTTACAAGATGGCTTCAAATGTCTTTTCAAAATATTCCCACAAGTTCTTAACGAATACATATTTCAATCTATCAGTGTTTAGTCCTCAAAGTCCTCAAATATAAACGTTCAGATGTCCACAAATGTGTTCTAAAGTCTTTTAAAAATGGCTGTACAACCTTGGTACACATATAACTGCCGTAGAAATCCAACTGGCTCAAATCCAGGATGATTGTAAWGAGTGTATTTGCAGTCTTTTTTGATGAATATTACAATAGTCTTGCATTTAAAACCCCAACCAATACGTACAATAATCGGTAAAAGATGTATTCCAATGCACTAGTACACTTCCAGATAAAGATATCAACACATTTCCTGATCAAGTGTTCTGCGTAATGTGACTATTATGGGATGCCAGTGACGACATAAAGACATTACGTCACGATCGTCGTTGTTCGACTACTCGGAGAATCGTCGTAAAATAAGGAATACACACGTTTTTACTGACCAATACATAATATGAGCTCACGGGACTATAGCAAAATGCATCCACAAGAAAAAATAAATAAGAGAAGACCATGAATTTTTATAAGAAGCATCAAATTAATAATATCATTTTCCGAAWGGAAACGACTAAGTTCCGATTAATCAACGAGTACCAGTTTCTCTCGTATATTTCTGTTTRTGCTCGAAATTGCAGGTTGTGGCTGGTTTTGTAATTTCGTGGAAAATAGTTGAAAAGTGAAAGAGGAAATTAACAATTCTGCRAAAAATACTTAACATGAGTAAGAGAAAAGCCTCAGACCAGAACCCTAACAAGGAGTTTTGTGATTTTTTAAATGGTAAATACATTTTGTATCTGAGCTGGCGATCCATGATACTATTTCCCGGTTGATAGCCAAAAGTCCTACCGAGTAAAATATTTGCAATTTGGAATGAGAGAGAAATTCATTACGTTTAAAAAGATATGAAAAGTTCAATATAATTAATATATAATTGACCTAAGGCCAAGAATGTCAACATAGTAATTTGCATCTGATATCAACATTAACATTTCACAAAATAATAKTGTTTCTGTTCGTTTACTTATTTTAGAACTTGCAGAATACGAAAAAAATGTTACAAGACAAATCCACAAATACAATGCTTACAGGTCAGGGAAGTTCAATTTTGTTATGAAATTAAAACGTTTTGTCATTTTATCTCGCTTTCCATACTGATTCACAGCTTAACATTTGGTTCATTTGCACTTGAGGGAAAGGTTATAAATGATTGATGAAGTTTAGCACTATACATTGCTGTATAATTGATACCTGTCCAACAAAATAAATTATATTTTTAATGATCTTGCAACATTTGCTTTTATACAATCTCTCTTAAATTTCCTTCTCATTTAATTCTCATGCTGCCCATTCCATTTTTAAGTGTTGACTTTGTTTTTCAATTATTATGTAACTTATTTRTTTATTGTATAACCACTATGTTATTTTAGGAAAGCAGCATCAGTTTTGGCCAAGCATCCCACTAAAGTAAAGAATGGGAAAGAAGCCAAGGAACTGGTACCTAAAATTTAACATGAACAATAGTGCATTGAACAAGGATAATGCTATTGCTATTTCATTTTTCTTTACTTCAAAGAATTAACAATATGCTCCCCCATTGTTATTGTGATAAATAACCACCATTAAAGCATACACACAATGTTTTATCATTTGACGAGTGAAGGTATACATTCTTTTTCGTTTTATCATTTGTTCCCCATTCTCAGAAAAAAAATCACTATATATATATTGATTCATGTTTGCATAAAATTGTTAATTAAATGGTGCTAATTCTCTAGCCAGGTATTGGTGATAAAATTGCTAAGAAAATTGATGAGTTTTCAAAAACTGGCAAGCTGGAGAAATTAGAAAAGGTAGGTGTTCAGTCTGCAGCCARCCATAATTGATTCATGTAAAAATATGAATCATGGCAGTGACGTAACGTAGTATGTTTGAAATAAAACCTTTAAATGATATCTTTAATATATTTGTCTAGATAAGAGCTGATGAAGGTAGTAGTATTATCAAGGATCTTACACGTGTCTCTGGAATAGGGTACTGAAATTRTAATATTTTTTTGACTTTGCTCAATATTCAAATAAACTGATATATTGTTTGTCATTTGTAGTCCTGCAGTGGCTAAAAAGTTGATTGATGATGGTATTAAGAGCATAGCTGGTAAGTAGTCTGTCTGTATTTTTTTCCACCCTGCATACTTGTGTTGGGATACCTGTTTTTACCTTATCAGTGAGGGACTGTGGTCTAACACCCCATCTGTTCTCATAGACTTAAAGAAAGCACAAGGAAGGCTGAACCACCATCAAAAGATAGGATTAAAGTCAGYCTTTGTGTCTTCATGATCATTGCCTCAATCACTAGCATTTTAATTTTCAACTTTATGTTCAAGGTATGTGGAGGAATTTGAGAAACGAATCCCAAGAGAAGAAATGGTAAAACTCAAGGTAATACCAGAAATAGTTTGGCCAGTCATTTTTTTCTCCTCTGATCTTCATCCATTAATCCGAGTYTTCACTTAAGTAGTTGCTATGGTAACTATATATTTGTTGCCATAGACACCAGTACAGGTCATGCTAGCCCAATTCACATAATGTTCTTTGATGATGTGCTCATCAAGCTGATGCTTAATTTAGGCTGCATTTTATTATTAAACTTTGCTTGTTTGTATTAAAGGATATTGTGTTGGAGCATGTAGAGAAGTATGACAAGAAGCTTGTTGCTACTGTATGTGGTAGTTTTAGAAGAGGTAAACCTTTAGTCTGATTTCYATTATAATAGCTGGTTGGGCTTCCTGTTTCTTCATGTGCAATGAAACATTGGGTGTCCTTTTTACCCTCAATGCTGAAATATGAGTTTGAAAAGGTCACATTATAACTCTACCTACTTGCCTATGTTTAATTAGGTGCTGCGACAAGTGGTGATATTGATATTATGCTTACTCATCCATCGTTTACATCAACATCCAAAACGTTTGAGAAGGTAGTGGCATTTCTAAGAATCCTTAAAGCCAAGCATTTTGATTGTATTTTTTACAGTGATTTTCCTTGATTCTATCTAGAAAGTGCTGCTGAAAAATTTGGTCTCGAAAATGGAAAAATCCCAGTTTATAACAGACACACTTTCACTTGGAGAAACTAAGTTTAATGTGAGATTACAATCGTTTRTTGGGCTTCCTGTGTAAATTGGCCTCATTTACATTTTTATTGTATTTCAGGGTGTTTGTATTTTACCATCGCGGCCTAAAGAAAAAGCACCTTTGCATAGGCGCATTGATATCAGGTAACCTTTTCGAGAACTTGCAGATTAGTACAAACCTGACCTTGTGTAGCTCGATCTTTTGTAGGGAAAGGGGAAGAGGGAAGAAAGAGCCTGMAATTTCTCCGTTGTCTACCCTAGTGCTCCTCTACACTCCCAAAACAACAGGACAGCTTCACAGACTGATGGAAAACACTTTACGCACACACAAATTAACAGCAATTCATCTATCCCTTTCTTTGCTTCCGATTGACGATTGTAGGAAATTCAATGAGTATTGCTTTTGGTTTGAAAATTACCTGTTTTTAGGACGTTTTTTCTTCTTTTAGGCTGATTCCTCACGACCAGTATTATTGTGGYATTTTGTATTTCACTGGATCAGATGAATTTAACAAAAGAATGAGACATGAAGCTCTGGAAAAAGGATTTACAATCAACGAGTATTCAATAAGGTGTGTCCTCGTATGGGTTTCCTGTGGTAACATATCACTGGAATACTTTGCTGCGAGAATTGTGAAAGTTTGTATAACACAATTCTTTTTCTTTTGTTTGATTAGACGATTTTGCGCAATTTCTTACAAAATCTTTAATTTCATGGATATAACGAATGCATTCGTCTCTTTCATCGATCTCTTTTATATCTTATATTTTCATTTGTTTACAGGCCAGTGGGAAGCACAGGTATGTTAAAATCAGCAATGCACGCAACCAATTCACTAACGACCGTCGCAAACTCACTGCATCATAAACGCTCAAAAGWTGCGCGCGGCACGCATAACGAACTTACAGCACACAGTTTAGAATAGCCCGTAGTACAGRAACGAAAAGGGAGACAATTTGAGAAAGCGCTACTAGAATTAAACGTGTTACTATCTAGCACGCATTGACAGTGCGTATTTTTGGTGAGTTTCCAGGAACCCCAGGAGAACCATTACCAGTATCATGTGAAAAGGACGTCTTTGATATCATTGGTATGAAATACAAAGATCCAGAGGAAAGGAACCTTTAAATGTTTTTGAAATGCACAGACATTTGTGTGAAACACAGGCCTGAAAGGCAAGTTGGACATTGTCAATTCACAATAATTAAACTATTGTCATGCTTTCCTTGAAAAACATTTCCTTTTAAAAAAATTCAGGAAAATTTTCTTTCGTTTAAATTTGTTTCAAATTATAATAACGTCATCCAGACATTGCGTCATCAATATAATGATATCATCAATTACATTTTTATTAAGACGCATACATAAAGTCAAACATTTTTATTATATCTTACAACCCTAAGACAACATATCAAATATTCCTCAATAATAAAAAATTAAATTCATGGAAATAAATAAGAAAGTGTATAAAAATAGCTTTAGTAAGTAACTTAATGTTCTATACTGTCTTAGAGATATCACTCTTATTTACAATTTGRCAAAATATCTTTAAACTCATAAATAACGATAAAAAAAACTTCTTCGGCAATAATAAGTTAATTGGTTTTATGGCAGATCAMATCTGCAGATATTTTACATCAGACTGATTGAGGATCTAGCAAATAAATATGTTATACTGTAATTACATTTATACAGGTTTTATTTAATTATCTGATGAATAAGYGTCATTTTATAAATATTAGGGTTGAGTGACTGCGCGTACGAACCGTAAAAAAATGAATTTTTCTCAAACTTTTTAAATAAATGATATTTTTTGAGTTCAAAACTCATTAATTATTTAKAACACACTATATTATTTAATCGGAGGTAAGAATTGACCTTCTTTCTCAGCTTCGTTTGGYCTTTCGGTATTATTCTCTACCGTTCGTTCTTTACCGGTTRAGTCAACTTTGGAAGTGGAGCCGATTCTTTTTAAGTGGGCACCAGTSCCCGGCGCGGTGATATGTAYATTATTATTATTWGAATCATACTGTGCATTGTGGGTAGAATCGGCACCTATTGGTTGCAGWCGTTCACGTGTTCGCGCGCTTCTTTTCGCCGTCCAGCTTGAGCCCTCGGTGGTTTTTGTTGTGTCAGTGGTTGTAACAGTTGTGTCGTTTCCCTTGGAGATGTCGTGAATACTGCGATGRCTTGTAGGAGGGTGGTAACGGGAGCTTATTCTTGATATACCACGTGTCTTTTGACGACCCTTCAAAAGAAAATAATGTTAATTGTTTCCTTTTCTCTTTATGGATAGTGCATTAGTACATACCTCTAAAATCCATTCGTCCTGCAATGCGTCTTCGGGTGTCATGCGTTTTTCAGGGTCCCACCTGAAACAGTTTTATTCTCGTTAGTAAACGTACGTCGTGCCTATTGAATGCAACGTATACTTAAATTCGATAGGGTCGTGGAATACTTACTCAAGACATTTCTTCAAGAATGCCAGGAATAGTGCGTCGTTGTTTTTGATTGCTACACTGAGGTCTTTTGTATTTGGCCTTCGCTTTTTACCCTTGGAGTTGGTWATACATCTAGGAATGCCTTTAGAATCTGTCACAAAGAAATTGAGTCTGACTTATTAGTACGACAGAAAATCGGTAAGAAAACCATAAAACGCTTGTGCACTGATAGAAGCACGTCCCGCYCACTTGTCTAATARWMATTTACTATCATTTTGCAATCAATGCCTAGTAAGCAWTGATATAGTWYTTWWAGCTARTCRTCATTCTTACCAAAGAATAGCCGTCTTCTMGACGCAGTCTCGATGACTTTGGAGTGTGGGAGACCAAGAACCTGAAAAACAAAGTTRATAGAAATCAGGCTGGGAAAGGAGTAATAAGTAAACAAACACAGAATATATACCTCCATAATACATGCCAACTGCTCGACTTCATTCTCGCCTGGAAAGAGTGGGTACCCTGTGTACAGCTCTGCAAGTATACACCCAAAACTCCACATATCGATGGCCATGCTGTACGGTAGTCCTGTGTAGAGAAAACCAGTTAAACCACTAGTGYACGATGTTATATACAAAACAATTTATTCTCTGAATTGTACATACAGTCCATGCAGCAGTTCTTTATAGGTTGCTAACCGATGGTATAAAAGCCTTACCTAGAATAACTTCCGGTGAACGGTAGAATCGACTTTGTATGTATGTATAGACTAAAAACAATTGCAACAATATGTTAGTACATCATTTTTCAATGCAGATAGCAATATAGTCAGTGCATAACCTTTCAACTGAATCATCAGAGACAGTCAGCGACTATAATACAGTAATAATGGCAGTTGTATCAAGTTTTTTGTACCTCTTTGATGTTCGTAACAACTTGAACCAAAATCAATAACTTTGATCGATGTTTGTCCCTTCTGTTTTAGTAAGATATTTTCCTGTAAAAAAAATTGATGTTATAACCATACTAATCATCATCATCATCATTATCATCATCATCATTATCATCACCATCATCATCATCATCATCACCATCATCATCATTATCATCATCATCATCATCATCATCATCATCATCATCATATTCATCATTATGATTTTCTTGGTGCAGGGGCGCAAATCGTTAAGACGCAAAGGTCGAATTTTTACTTTTTTGCACTATTTCATTTCTTCCTTAATCGATATTAATGTATGTGATGACTTACTGGTTTAAGATCACAGTGGATTATCTTTTCTTTGTGAATGACGCGAAGACATTGAAGAAGTGCGACAGCAAATCTACAAAACAAGCAATATGGTGTAAAGGAGAGAGCTTCTTGCTTAGGAGCATGGAATCTCAATTGTCATACGTACTTTCTAATAAGAGCTAAACTGAATCCTTGGAAATTATTTTTCTTGATCAATTCGTATAAATTCATTCCCATCAATTCGAACACTATACAAAGATGATTCCTGATAAATGAAAGAATAAATCATGTTATTTCACAAAGTAACAGTGAAGAAAATAAGCCGCTGCAGAAAATAGTGAATTAGAGTAGAATTGGTAAAGATATATTATCCTGCTCAGCAGGTTCTTTCCTGCCAAACACTAGACTACGGACAGTCCAGACTACGGACAGTCCACACTACGCAGGTATTGACCAAAGTCCTACTGAGGCAGTGATTGGAAGCTCATCCGACCCGGCGTTGGTTGATCTTGTGAATTTTTACTCACCGAAAGTAGAAATGATCAATCATATGGATTAGGTTATGTGAATTATCTTTATCCTGTAAAACAATTAATAAACATTAGCTATACATACAACTACTGCGCACTCTGCCTAACTATCGACTAGCTAAAGCTTTAACGTAGCACTGAAAGTAATGAAGAAATACTTGCTCAAATTTTGGTCTGTCTGTAACATAATTACTCAAAGACCGCGCGATTTGATTTGAATAATCAAGATATGCTTTCAATGGATGACAGTGAATCTTAACATGTGAGAAAAGAGAAAACGTGAACCCCGCCAACCATACGTTGCTTTTCATTGTAATTTAGTAAACTCCCATTGCCATCGGTCACCCGTGGATTACATCACCAAAACTTTTAAGAGATGAACAAGTTACCTTTTTTCTCAGATTGTCTAAAATCTTAACCTCTATTAACGCTTGTTGATGAAACCTGAAACAGCACATAAGAAATTAAGTAAGTAAGCTTTTAGTAATACAAAGGACTGGTGGCAAATGAAGTCAATACTTTAGTTACGCAGAGCAATATCGCCTGTGTACAGACCTATATATATTGGTCATAAACAACACTATGCAAGACAATAACAATATACTTTTACTTCAGGGTACATATTATTCGCATGATTACCTTTTTTTGTTTCTAATAATCTTAACAGCAACATGCTGGCCAGTCTTGTGATCTAAGGCTTTGACGACCTGGCCAAACGAACCTTTCCCCAAAACCTCTAACACTTCATATCGATACAT